AGAACACAATCACACATAAACAATTAATCACATTGTCTTTTATTACCTATTTTTCATCATTAGAATTAATCAATGTGAACAAGTCAACCCATCACCAAGTCTCATTATCCCCAAACACATATTACAAGGAAATACATGAATTCCATACACTTAACAAGGGTTTAGAAATCCATTTGTCTCAATCAATCCAGAATTTACTCTGGGACTTGAGCCTTCCCTTTTTGTTGAACTTCCAACTCAAAGCAATCTATTCACATTAATAATCACAATAAGATTTTGAAACTAAAAGCACCCACATTACTTTCTGTCTAGACTAGACCCAAAAATTCACTCAAATCTCACTACTAGAAAATAGGTCTGTTGCAACAGAATAAAATTCATTGTCATAGACTCAAAGACTGTTGCAATTGCATTATGGCAACGGAAGATGGTGTGTTGCATATAAGCCTGTTGCGATATGTCTATGGTAACGATTTTATGGCAACAGTTGTAACCGTTGCAATACACTATGTATAGCAACAGTTATTCTTTAGTCTAGGTCGACACTATTCTATGGTTGCTGCAACGGCTTCGAACCATTGCAAACGATATATCGCAACAACTTTACTGTACAACTCGATCTAAGCTATTACAACGGTTCTGCTAAACTATTGCAACAGTGTTATTAAGCTATTGCAATAGGCTTTTTTAATGGTTATTGTAGGCTATTGTAGGCACTGTGTATATTCTTTATTTTTGAAATAAACTATAATACAATGATAGAAAATATTAAATCAATATGTACTTCAACTAGTAGCATCCATATATCAAAGATAAAAACACATGATCTTGATTTACAATTCAAGAGTTAACATACATGATGAGGTTCACAAAAATTAAGCCCAAACATAAAAATAGTCCTATAATGTTCAAGAGTTGGCATTCATTTAAGTTCACAAAAATTAGGCCAAAAAGAAAAATAGTGCTAGAATGTTTGTAGATATATAGATAAACGAATTCTCTTTAAGTAACGTCTTCACTGCTTTCATCCCCGCTTTGCTCATTTTGTTCACCTACAATTTCAAAGGGGTAAACAATTAGGAAATAGGAAGTTAAAAAATGAAAAGGGAAAAGAAGACGCACAACTCCTAATTTTTACTCTTTCTGGACATAACCTATACTACCACATCACTTTTTTAAAAAAAAAAATGCAAAGTTACTGATATTGTAGTTTAGAAGGGAGCAGAGAATTACAATAATGTGGACTTACCAAAGGAGGACAAACGTATTGTTCAAGAACAACGAGTAGATTAAAGATAAAAGGGGCCATGATGAAAATAACTCACAGGAAACCAAGACTCTAAGTGATAGTACTAACATAGAGAAGCTCTAACTGTTCATGAGGAGGAGCCAAACCTATAGAAACAACTTGAAAAATATAGCTATAACAGTGTACACGGATGAGGACAGTTTAACAGCCAGTAAACACTTAGAAGAATTAGCACCATGTGAAGAAGCTGAGAGGGAACAACCAAGTGAGAACAAATCAGTTAGCTGACTACATTACAAGCATTGCACTTGAACAAGACAACTCAATCCATTACCACAGTTTTCAAGCTCTACCCACCAAAGGACGGAAGACATTAAATTCCGATAAATCAGAAATTACAATCCTCAGAATCAGAACTAGAAAGATTACAGTCATAAACATGATATTTGTTGATCAAAATAGAACAGTTAAACACAAGAGACACAACAAATAGGGGCTACATGAAGAGGCAATACAATAAGAACAAAGTCGGTCACTATACATCAGAAACAAACGATGAACCAAAAGGGAAAAACCAACAAATAGGGTCAGTATATTTTTACTAGAAACCAACAACACCTAAAATCAACTCAGATCTGGAGCACACCTTTTAAAACCTTCTTAATCAATTGATGTTTTAAGTTTAGTTCAATACTCCTAAACTATGCAAACAACAGTAACACTAATCTCGATAATATCAACTTCGATAAAAATAAAAAGATGATCGCAGTTGCACCAACAATAATACAAGAAGATTGCAAGTGTAGTAGCACAAGAAAAAGAAGTAGAAGCAGATTAACATAATAGCCATAAATGAAGATGAACCAAACAGAAAACTGCAAAAGCAGTAGTAGAAGAAAATGAAGAAGAAGGAGGATGATTCTGACCTTGATTGTTGCTACTGGTAGTTGAACGATGGATTGGCCGAATATTGTTTCTCGTGTTGACGAAACATCAAGTAATGTAGGCCTGAACGTTGAAGTTTTGTTATGACATCTTCTACAATTTCTTGTCTCATCATGGTCTTTTGTTGGTCAAATTGTTCCTTCTGTTCCTCAATTTTTTCCTCCATTCTCAGCATTTTGTCTTCCATCTTTTTACAAGGTCATTTGTTGCATTTGATGAGGCTTCAAAATTTCCCACTTTCCCTTTCAAAGTAGTTTTTGTAACCCCTCTTCCATATAATCTCAAACGTCCTGGATGTTCTGATCCCATGACAGAAGCAAATGCATCAATTGTCTCATTACCATCTTCATTTTGTTGCATTTCAATATTCTCCATCTCAGCCTATAATGCAGTTTTATTATTAAAAAACAAGAGAATTCAAGTACACATATAAAGAGTAAATATGAAAAAACAAATTCAAATCAAACAAAATAAAAATTAGATAGAAATCTCACAATTTTACTAGCTGTATCTTCATCTGTATCCTTGTATGATCGATTGGGCTTTCTTTTTCTTGTAACCACAAAAAATTCCTTAGGTGATGGAGTATCATTAGTTTCCCTCTCTTTTTCCTGTACACATTAAAAGTGGATATCAAACATCTTCTTTAAAATGCGACATGTTTTTATTCAATGCTACGCAGGAGCTCATACCAAATCATTGCGAAGTAAAGCAAAGCTTTTCTTGCCAACAGTATGTGGATTCTTCAACTTTTTCGATTCTCACTGTTGGCTTTTGACATTTTCTACAAATAGAAGAGAAGTTCCACAATGATCAAGTGATTTTTATAGAAGAGGAAAGCTTTTTTCCAGTGACTAGTGATCCGTAAAAAAGATGAGAGCTCAGTGGTCTCCCAGAAAGAAGAGACACTGCCAGTGATCAGTTACAGAAGAAAAGAGCTCTTTATATAGCTTAAAATATTTTGGAAATGAAGAGAAAAATAACTACCAAATCAGCTAATCACAATATTCTCTTACTAAAAGAGAAGTAACTCAATCCATAAGGAATAAAATTGACCAAGAAACATGTATTACAGGTTGTTCTCAGATCCAACAAGGACAGAAGGGAAAATGATAATATAAATCCCAACTTACCATAATTGAACCACTATCAAAGCTGTCATATAATTAAACCAAGTAGCAAGGATGGAAAGAAAACAATCGTTTAAGAAAAATATATATACTCAAAAGTATCAATTTAACAGTGGGATAAAGGTTCAATTACCATATTTAAGCAAGTACTATGACTGCCACAGTTAATTAGGGAGTGATAAACTAGAATCAATCACAATATAGAAGTAAAATCAGTAACTTTCTTTAATTAATCTAAAATAAAATTGTAAAGAAGTTGGACCCACGAAACACTAAAATGAAGGAAATTTTTTTATCTTTTCCTAAGATCGATGAGTCAAATAACTCTTATTTCGTATTAACAACTAGTAAGACTTACCTGAAATTTTTCTGAGTTCCAATATTTAAGAAGTTCCTTAAATTGAGATGTTGGAACATCATCAGGCTTTTTTTCCATCCGAATTTGATCATTAGCGTAGGCATCAAAGTGGTGTGTTTTCAAATCAAACTTACGCCTCTCCAAGCTTCTTGAATTGTTTTTAAAGTCCATCTATTTTCGATTTCTGGAATATCATATTTCTCCTGAAAATTTCGACATTGAGTTAGTGCAATAAATGTTAAATATATTTAACTTAACAGAGAATTGAAAACTTCAAACCTTGGTATAATCCCACAAATCCTGTTTTGTGTCAAGCAACTTCCAATTTTCTATATCAAGAGGACAAAGGGTCGCATTCCTAGCAAGTGTACCGAGGAAGCTGCTCAACTCTATCACGACATCATTACTAGGACCAACTGGCTGACCAGCTTTATTTAGTACAATCAGTTTACGATCATGCCTTCCATGTACAGCTAACATCTTTGTTTGACCTTTTGTCTTTTTTTAGTGGAAGAGTCTACAATAATACACAAATAAAGATAACCCTTCCAAAGTAGTATTGTAATTTGATTTTATAATTAAAAAAGAAAAGTAATATTATAAATAAAATATGGATGTTCTTGCCTTGTTCTTCACATTGTTCATTTACTTTATGAGCAGTAGAATTCAATTGAAGTTGTTCTTCTACGGGTTGCACTACATTGTTAGTTGAGTCAGTTGTATACGAACTCCTACCTCTGGATTGTGTGATTCTAGCACATCTTGTTCTTCTATTACATCTGTTAGACGCTGTCGCTTTTCGATCAGTAGATCCTTTCTTCTTTAGCTAGCAACAACTTCTTTTGATTCGCCAAAGATGTGAGTGTTCCAGCTGGAACAGTTGCTCTTGTTTCTTTATTCCTTATTCTTGAAGACTCTCGTTGTTTCATGACTACCAAGTATTGCCTGCTGTAAAAATAGAGATATAAAGATAAAGAGTTATACATCCCAACAGAATCAAGAAGATAAAGCAGAATCAGTGAAAAGAAGATTACAGTCACAATAAGACGAACTAGTAAAAAGGAGAAAGCGTGAAGCAGAAATCAGAATTATCACCACTTCTTGCTACCTGATTCACATAGGCTTTCTAAAGAAAAATCACTCAGCTCGTTTCAATAAATGAAGCACTAAAGCAATCTCTAATAATATTTAGATAACCCAAAAAGACAGAAGTACACAATAATAATAAAATAGGCAAAATCAACATTCTTTCAATTGACTTTCAAACCAATAGTACATATAAGAAATGCAATAGAGATATATAAGAAAAATCCCTTCGTCAATCATCAGCCACCATCCAATCCCAATCGACATCATCAAAGTCCTCATCTTCTTCTGATGTGTCCATATCTTCTTCCATATATTCTGAATGTTGATCATGAGTTGGCATATCAATGACATCACCAGGTACATCTTCTCTTGACCATCTGAGATCAACATCAGCATCAGGTATCCCATTTGATGGTCCAATGTCATTGTCTGGCTCCCCAAAAAATATTTCTCCAATATTAGGGCAATTCTCTTCTTCTAAATCAAATAAATCAACATGAACTTTGGTCCTTGCATAATAAACATCTTTCTCAATTGGATCCTCTACATAGAAAACTTGATGCACTTGAGATGCCAGTACAAATGGATCTTCAGTACTGCATAATTTGTTGAAGTATACTCAAGTTAATCCATATTCATCTACTTCATTACGAAACCAATCACATTTAAACAACACAACACTAAAGCAACCCCAATAATCAATCTCTATGATATCTTGAATAACTCTATAATAGACAACTTCTCCATCAATGGGGTTTTGGTCTCTAGCACTAGCAAAACTATCAGTTGTTGCTGATAAAGTCACTCCATAGTTCTGGGTCTTACCTTGACTATCTCGTTTCATTGTATGAAATCGATATCCATTGATGAAATATGCTGTATATCTTTTTGCCGCAGTATTAGGCCCTTTAGCGAGTTGTCGTAAATGTTCAGGCACTTCAACAGATTTCACTTTCTCCTTAAACCAGTTGCCAAATTCTTGACTATGATTTTGTGCTCTAATCCATGCATTTGATCTACTATGATTGTCAATTACAATCTTATGTTCCCTACAAGCAAGCATGTTTCAAATTAGCATGTTTCAAAGTTCTTATCATATAAAAAATATTGAAGTTTATAATAAAAGTGACAGATCTTACATGATAAAGGTCTCCATTTTTTCATCTCCGGTATTAAGCAATACATATCGATGTATATCAACACATAACTGGAGATCCATGTGAAAATTATTGCCCTTGCTTTTTTTCTCCCTTCCAATCGGATGGCCAAATTTAGGGAATATAGGTGACAAATTACCTCCCTCTGTTTCAGTTCCCTGCTCATCCTCTAATTGGTATCGACTAAATTTTGTTTTCACCCCAGCATGTAGGTATCTAGAACATAAATTCACGCGCTCTAGTGCCACGAATCCCTCTAGTATTGATGCTTCTAGATGAAATCGATTACGAACAAGCCCCTTGAAGAAACATAGGTTTCTTTCAGTGGAATACATCCAACGAAGATGTATCGGACCCCCAAGCTTAATTTCATTTACTAAATGGATGGGCAAATGTACCATTATATCAAAAAAAGATGGAGGGAAAATCTTTTCAAAGTCACATATAATCTCATAGATCTTAGACTGCATTGTATCAAGATCTGCTCGCCTTATCACCTTGCTACTTATGACTTTAAAGAAGTTCTCCAACCGAATCAAAGCCATAGAAACTTTTTTGGGTAACACTTTTCTAACAACAATTTGGAGCAAGTAATGCATTATGAAATGAGCATCATGGCTCTTGTAACCTGATATTTTCATCTCATCCACTTCCACACATCTTGATATATTTGAAACACAACCTTTTGGTAATTTGGCATTTTTAAGAACAGTGCAAAATAACTTCTTTTCTGCTGGTTTCATGGAGAAACAGGCTTTAGCCAAATGAACTCTTCTATTATCATCTTGTACTGGTTGAAGCTCCTTTCTTATCCCCATTTCTTGCAAGTCATATCGAGAATTTACATGGTCTTTTGACTTTCCAGTTACATCCAACAAAGTCCCGAGCAAACTGTCACAAATATTTTTTTCAATGTGCATCACATCAAGATTGTGCCTCAGTTTGTTATGTTCCCAGTATGGCAATTCAAAAAAGATGGATCTTTTTTTCCATGGACCCTCACTATCACGACGCTTCCTTTTTTGGCCCTTTCCGAAAACATTATTGAATTCACGCAACTCTTCTAATACTTCTGTGCCTGATAAGGGAGTAGGTGCAGATCTGTGATCTTCTTTACCATCAAATGATTTCTTATCTCTTCGAAATGGATGATCAGGAGGTAAAAATGCCCGATGACCCATGTAACACATCTTACGACTATGCTTGAGATATTGAGAGCATGTCCCATGATTACAAGTTGGGCATGCCTTTCTTCCTTTTGTGCTCCAACCAGAAAGCATTGCATAGGCTGGAAAATCACTAATTGTCCACAATAAGGCTGCACGCAATTGAAAAGTTTGGTTAGAATCAGCATCATATGTTTCCATCCCAGTTTCCCACAATTCTTTCAATTCTGCAATTAGTGGTTGAAGGTAGACATCAATATCCTTTCCTGGAGACGATGGACCTGGAATGATCATAGATAATATCATATACTCCGATTTCATGCAAATCCACGGTGATAAATTATAATTCATTAACATAACAGGCCATGTGCTATGGGAAATACTCATGGGTTGAAACCATCACTTGAAAGACCCAATCTAACATTACGAGGATCTCTAGCAAAATCTTCGTGCAAGGAATCAAAATTCTTCCAAGCTTCCCCGTCAGCCGCATGCCTTATGTTGCCATCTTTGGGTCGTTCAGTATCATGCCATTTCATATTTGCAGCTGTTTCAGGACACATGAATATTCTCTGAAGCCTAGGTTTTAAGGGAAGGTACCTTAAAACCTTTGCAGGAATTTTGGAGCTTTCATTAGTCAAGGGATCATTAACAGTCTTCCATCTAGACGAGCCACAAACAGAGCAATTATTTTCCTTTTCATTTTCCTTCCAAAATAACATGCAATCATTAGGACATGCATGTATTTTTTCATAATCAAGACCCAAATCTTTAATCACATTTTTTGCTTTGTGGAACGATTCAAGTATATGAGCAAATGGAAATGCCTCTCTTAACAGGTCTAGCAAGTCTCCAAAGGCCACATTACTCAAACCATGAATGCATTTGAACAAGAATAATCGAATGGTGAAATTCAGCTTAGAGAAATTCTCACACCCATGATATAACTCTTGTTTACCTTCCTCCAGCAATTTAAAAAATTTCTTTGCATCTTCGGATAGCCCCTCTCTCACTCCCTCAAGCCTCAAGTCCCCTGCAACATCTCTAAAAGTATCATGAAGTAGGCCGTCAATATTGTCACGCATGTTGGAACCTTCCTTATTATTATGATCTGGATGATTTCTCGAGGAAAAACTTTCCCCATGAAAAATCCATTTGGTGTACCCTTGCACAAACCCATAAACAACCAAGTGATCCTCTACCACATTTCGATGATGCCACTTACAATTAGCACACTTTTTGCAAGGACACAATATTTCATCTCCTTTGGAAGCTCGTTCAAAAGCTGTATCAAGAAAGTTATTCACACCACTGATATACTCATTGGTGGATCTCCGGAGACCCATCCAACTTTTATCTTCACTATCCATTTAATATTGAATATCCTATACGACACCAAAATCAAATTACCAAGATAAGAAATAAAAGAGAAGATTCTGAATAGCACACCAACAGATTTGGTTCCCTTAAAAACTTACATTCAACAGATTTTGATCAGTGGCTCTATCTTATTTTATTTAACAACATAAATGAAATGTCTTTCTTCCTTGAACTATTTGTTATACATAATCAGCTATCTACTTAACAATACCTATTTTACCTAGAATTTCAATTAGTTAAAACAGAAATGATGTAAAAGATTTAAAATCTAAAAACTCAATCTTAAGATAATAAGACACGACAGTAAAGTGAAACGATTTTGAAAAATCTAAACACTTAAAAGATGTAATGGATTTCATATAAAAAATACAAAATTTCATATTATTTTGTCAAAGACAACAACCTCACTCAAGAAACTAAGCAGCACACTATTGCAAGACTCCCCCTTGAGAGGCTGAGTTAATGTTCAAAACCTTATGTGTAGCTCAACCAGACCCAATATCTACTCAATCAGTTCTAGAATCAGCAATGGTCACAAAATAGAACATGAATCAGAAAAAAAGAGTAATAGGAAAGTCACATAAAAGGGAAATCTTTGTAACACCCCAGAGAATTTTCGAACTAAGACTCGAGCCATCCTTCATGTGGAGTGGGATTTTACCGAGGAATAAAAATTTATTGAGTGTTAAGTTAAGGTCCCTAGGTGTAGCACATTGAGTTCCAAGAAGAGTTGAATTGGAAATAGTCATTTTGGAAAGAATCTGGAAAATTTGGCTATGGAAAAAAAGGAGTTTTTGGTCAACTTTGAGCAGTTGTAACTCCTAGCTCAAAATGATTTAGGTGAATTTCCAGTTATGTCTGGAAAGCCCTTGGAATGATCTTTCCAACGCCACCGAGTTTTCTTGATTCCGAGTTCGTATGAGTGACTTATGCCCGTTGGAAGTTGGGCTGTTGGCACAGTCGCACAGTCGCACAGTGCAGTTTGTTTAGTCCGAAAATTTTAAGGGTATTTTGGTCTTTTCCCTAATCATTTCTTTGGGTTATATTGAGGTGTTAGACTGATGTTTGGATCATTTTTGTCCCATTTTAAAAAGTGAGAGTAAGAGTGAGAGTTAGGGCTTGGAAGATAAGAGAGAAAGAAGAGGAAAAGAAGAGGAGAAAGAGAAGAAGAAGCTAAGGATCGTCGTGGATTTTCGTCGGGGGTGATCCCTAATCAGGTATGTGAGTCTTTAGTGTGGGTTTATCCTTTCCCCCCACATACCAAGCTCGTTTTTATGATTTGAGAAGAGATTGGATTTGTTGTTGAAGTTGTTGAAGTTGTTAGTTGTTGTTGATGTTGTTAGTTGTGTTGTTGAAGTTATTGTTGGTTGTGGGACAGGATTGGGCTGTGTATTTGAGTTGTGACCTATTGTATATTGAGGGATTTTATGATCCTTAGTGTTGGTTGGTTCATACCCCTACACACCAACTCGTTTTTAATTCCAAGAGAAGATTTATTGGTTGTTGAAGTTGTAGTGGTGTTGTGTTGAAGTTCTTGCTGATTTAGTACAGATTTCTGGCTGTGATTTTTGAGTTGAATCTATTGTATAATAAGGGTCTTTATGATTCTAAGTGTTGCTGCTGAAACCTTGAGGTTGAGAGGGTTTAGAATTGGAAAGAAACAAGGGGAAAAAGTCGGATTTTTGGGGAAAAAGGGGCTGGGCTGTTGCACCTCTCCTAGTGCCAAGGACACCAATCCTTCCCTTTCATTCACCATTTCTTTTTTTATACATGTTCCTAGGTATTATACCTATGTTTCCTAGTTGTTTCCAACACTCCAAGGTACTTCCAAAAGTCAAGTAAAACTACAAGTCAAGTGAAGTTAGTTTCAAAATCAAGTGAAGTTAGTTTCCAAGTCAAGTGAAGTCAAGCTTAGAAGTAGGTAAGTCAAAACAAGTCTTTAAGGTTTTCCAAGAGTCTTCATTGATCGTTTTAACTTCATTTTAAGGCTCAAGTTAAGTAAAGAATGAAGAGTTCTGAGTCAAGAGTTTCAAGTCAAGTCAAAGTTAAGAATTTCATGTTAAGTTAAGAGTTTCACATCAAGCCAAGAGTTCAAGTAAAGTAAAGAGTTTCAAGTCAAGTAAAGAGTAAAGAGTCAAGAGTTTAAAGTTGAGTTCATTTCTCAAAGTTATTAGGGAACTATGTATTCCCAAAGGAGTTTTAAAGAAATGTCTTTACATCTAAACAAGGTTGGAAATTGAGATTTCCAAAGAGCCTTCGGGCTAGTTTTTGAGTAATTATCTCATATCAGCAGGAATAAATATGTTTTAAAAACATAAGAGCCAGTACATTTTTGGGAGTAGTATCGAGCACCGAATTGGGGGAGCGTTCAAAGAACCCACAGCCCCCATAGAACCATGTTAGCCACCATGGGTAGAAAAGGATCATACTTTTTAGATGAATCCTTTTCAGATTAGACTAGTGGATCCATTAGGCAGTTCAGGTCTTATACCTTTGGCCGGGTATAAGATGCTCTGGCAGCGTGAGGTCGATCGCTGTATCATCACTATAGCTCTTATGTGATGGTTGTCGGTTAGAGAAACTCCCACAGCAGTTATTGTATTTTCATACACAGAAATTATTGTATTTTATATACATCAGTTCAATTGTATTTCTATATACATCTCAGGCTTATTGTATCCTTGTATACACTCAGAGTTTATAGCATGTTTTAAACAGTCTTTCTTTATATCGCACTTGTTTTAAATTGCCTTATATTGAAAGAAGTCAGTCAGGTTGAGTTCAGTTATTCAAGAGTCGAGTATCCTTGAGTTAAGTATCTTTGAGTTAAGTATATATCTTGAGTTAAGTATATATCCTTGAGTTGAGTATCTATCTTGAGTTGAGTATCTATCTTTGAGTTGAGTATCTGTCTCTGAGTCCAGTATCTATCTTCTGAGTTGAGTAAGTTTGAGTAGTTTTGGGTATTCCTTGAGTTGAGAAAGTTTGAAAAGAGGTAAGTTATTCAATTTATTCCAGTTTTTCTTCTAGCCTGTGTTGTTTAGCTTTCTAGCTTACACACTCGTACATTCCACGTACTGAGCCATTTGGCCTGCATCTTTTTATGATGCAGACACAGGTATTCAGGATCATCAACAGGAGATTCGTTGATACATCCGGGAGTTCCAGTTAACTATGACAAGCCTCTTTGCTTCCGGAGGATTTCATTTACCTTTCAGTTGTATCAGTTGTTAGGAGGTCATGGGTCTTGTCCCGACTTCCATCTTTATCAGTTAGAGGCTTCATAGATAGACAATAGAGTTTCAGAAGTCTCTTCATTTATTTTGTTAAATGTTTTGAAGACTAAAGTTGCCTTTTATGGCGAGTTGTATATATATTCTATTATACAGAGTTTTCTTTTGAGTTAAAGATTTATAAAGTTGAGTTTATAAACTCTTATTCAGTTTTAAGCTCTTGTATGCTTAAGTTAGTATTCCGCTTGGAGTCAGCCAGGATGAGGGTTCGCTTGGGGACCAGAAATGGTCTTCGAGTGCCGGCCACGTCCAGGGTGTAGGCTCGGGGCGTGACAATCTTATCCAACACTCTAAACTTACTATACATGTACAATATTTAGAGAGCACATATATGGGGAAAGAATCACCTGGAAATGATTATAAACAACACAAAAAGAAGAGTAAAAACCAAGATTCACACACACATCAATGGAAATGAGAATAGACTAAAAAGAAACTAGCTACAAAATTAAGAGACAAGGGAATATTACCTCTTTTTAAGTAGTGAATGGCTCACTACATGAAAACTTTACTAGTTATAACCTTTTAAATTAAAGATAAGCATAACTAAGCTAACTAGGCAAATTTGAGTTAACAAGTTGAGGGTGTTGTGTCTCTAATTAAAGACTTCTAAATAAATTTAAAGGTAAAAGAAAAGCATAAAAGGACAACAAAACCAAAGTCACTAACCTCACTCAAGAAACTAAGCAGCTCAATCGTAAAACTTCAAATTTATAAGAAAAGACAAGGGGCAGCCTTAGAGAACTTGGATGTATGGTTAAATGTAGACATGCATATCTAAATCTAGGAGCAGCCTTAGAGAGGTTGAATTAACACTCAAAGCCTTATTTTGTGCTCAACTACACCAAGGATCTACTCAATGTATTCCAAAAGCAAAAATGATCTTAAAACAGAAAATACAATATTTATCACAAAAAGAATATTAAAGGAGAAAACAAAGAACTACTCAATACCTAAAGTTTTATTCGGTGCTCAAAGAATAAAGAGGTTGGTTTCATAATCAAAACCTTATTCTATGATCAACTAGACGCTAGGTCTGCTCAATGTATTCATGAACCAGTAATGCTAGTTAAAAGCACCTGGTAACACTAATGACAATCATTAAAAAAGCTACGACCTCGGACTTCTGTTTTCATTTCAAGAAGAATACACACCACCACTACAGTACAACTATGTTCAGAAGAAAAGCTTTCTTGCATTGGTACACTAGGGAATGAATGGACGAGATGGAGTTCACTGAGGCAGAAAGTAACATGAATGATCTGGTTTTTGAAGCTCTTAACTCATAACAGAGAAAATTGATCATGAAATATTTTTTACAATAAAGCATAAAGTGAAAGTTTTTCCAACATTCTAAACTTACAATACAGACCTTAAATCTGAAAAACACAGTCATATGGAATGATTTAACTAAAAAATGAATAAGCAATAACGAACAGAGAAAAGTAAACGTAAAATATCTAACATACACACAGATATACATCAAAATAAAATAAGAGAAACAGGAACATTACCTCTTTTTAAGCAGTGAGCTGAGCTTGATGACCAACTTGTAGCTTGTCCACTAAAAATTTTAGACAAGAAGGAAGAAAGTATAAACTTAGAGCTTGAAAATTGTACTCAAAAGAGAGAAACAAAATCCCTTAATGTTCGATTTCAATGACTTTTAGAGTTGAAAAATATTTCAGCTCAGTTTA